TCTGTCTGTCTGTCTGTCTGTCTGTATGTATGTGTGTGTGTTTGTGTATGTATGTATGTATGTATGTATGTATGTATGTATGTATGTATGTATGTATGTATGTATGTATGTATGTATGTATGTATGTATGTATGTATGTATTATGTATGTATGTATGTATGTATGTATGTGTGTGTGTATGCATGTATGTATGTATGTAGGTTTAATACACACACACGCACATGCACCACACGCACCCACAGAGACACATATTTTGCGGTGTCCGTGCGTTAGGCGTTGCGAGTCCACTCGTAATGTCAACGTACCGCGATCGAATCCCACTGCGTGGATTTTTATGATAGTATGGGGATTCACAGGTCGACCCAGCCTCAAATGGTTATCAGAATGTATGTCATGGGGAAGAAAAGACGGCCGGCGTAAAACTGACCACATTATCCACCTAGCGCAGATTGGTCCGTAAATAATATGGGTGCTTTTCCCATATGCCCGATGCGCCTAAAGTCGTGAAAAAGGGATCTTTACTTTACTGGTACATTTTAATTGAAACAACATCGGAATTGGAACTCTTCGCTTGCTACTTAAGATGGGAACGGAGCACTTATGAGAGTGTCCTGGGTCCTGTGATGTCGATTCTTAATTCAACGTAAAACATTCAATTGAAACTCTTAGCTTACTCCTGAGGAGAAAAAAAAAAAAGGGGGGGGGGGGGGCAGTTATGGGAATGGCCGGGGTGCCTTTATATTGGCACTAACCTCGGCTAATCAAAAATATTTTGATTTAATTTCTTATAAAATGGTTTCTGTGTGAAGTTGTTTGCCCTGCGCTCTGAAGGCCCCGATGTCGTGTCGCAGGCTGTTACGCTTAGTTAACTATAGCAATGATCGCTGTTCTAAGTGACGGTGTCCAGAGATACGGCGTAACATGATGTGTGCGGCAGGATAGAAGCTTTTAAAGCATCATTGAACTTTTGATAATTTGTGCATATAATCTTTTCCGTAAGTGACTTGATGAGCGGCATAAACGAGTACAAATAAACTGATCGCGGAATAACTCCACTATTTGATAACATCTAAATAGATAAGACATTATTTTACATCGCTTCAACATTCACTCCCTACTTTTCTCTCTTTCTTCCTGCCATCTTTCTCTGATTCTCCTTCCGACCCTATTTCTCTCTCATCCTCCCCTGTCTCCACTTCCCATTTCTCCTTCTGTCTTTCCCTCTCACTTTCCTTTTCTCTCTCTCTCTCTCTTCCAAAATTGCCCTTTCTGTCTACATCTCTCCCTTATTTTCACCCTCTATCCCTGACCCATCTCTCCTTTCTCTCAATCCTCCTCCCTCCCTCCCTCCCTCAGTGAGTGGGTGAGCATGTGTATGTGGGTGTATGTATGCACGCGCGGGTTTTTGCATGCACTTTACAACTCATGCTTTTGTGTTCTTTTAAATTAGTAAAATACAATTGCTGTGTGAAAGATGGTTGACTGGAAGGGCCGAATGTAAGACGGGCCTGCGTGCCCAATTTGTGACCCTTTGAAAATAAAGTTCGTTCGTTCGTTCGTTCGTTCTCTTTCTCTCTCTCTTCTCTATCTCTCACTCACTTTTTTCCTTTCACCCTTTCGCTGGATTTCCCCCTCTTTCTCCTTTTACTCCTTCCATCTCCTCTCCGTCTCTCATCCCCTCACCTTTTACCCCATCCCCCGTCCTGGACTTCACAAGTAATCAGGATCCAGCTCAAATTACTCGCACGGCCGAGCAACAAAAACGTCCTCTGGTATTCCCTCGTTTATCTTGTCAGCGAGACCTGAAAACGCACACATTTTCATATCCAAAGATGTCTTCGCCTGGACACTCGTATTTGCCTGTTTTCTTACCACTTTTCCATTTGTTATCTGATATTTCCTGTTTCTTGCCTCCTTTGACTAAATACATTAATCATCAGTACACAACAAATGTATGTACTTTAACCAAGACAACCCAAGCAGAGGCTAGGCGCTCACCTTCTGATCTGAGAGTCAAGGGTTTGAATCCGAACGGAAACGGCCTTTTTTTTTAAAACAAAACCTTGGCTTTCAAGTCGATCCAGCCTTGAAAGGGTACCAGATAAAGTCAGGGGAAGACAAAGCTACCCACTGAGTGCCGATTAGTCTGAAACTACTACTAATACTACTGCTGCTGCTGCTACTACTACTACTACTTCTATTACCCATACAGCTTTAAATAAACTACCATTAACTTGTAAATGTTGGGTCGAACAAAGTTCTGGAGATTATCTAGTCATTATCAACATGTGCCTTGCCAGTGAACGTAGGCTGTCACGGATCACCATCTCACACATGGTTTGAGTTTGCTTTTACATTCCTAAGTAGGATACTTTATTTACAAACGAATAAAAACGCGCCATCGGATAACTATGCGTGTGTTTTTTTTTTTAAACAGTAGTTGTAAACCAATATAAATGTGCCTTTGATTCTGGCCGGAATTGTGTTCGAAGAAAAAAAAAAAAAAAAAAATTAAAAAGAAAAAAAAAAAAAAAATTAAAAAGTATAAAAAATTTAAAAGTGCTTTTCGGGATATGACAGCTGATATGTGGAAATGAATGGCAGGTGAAAATTGGGTCGACAGAAATAGATCATTGAGGGAATTAGAGGCAAGATGACAACCGTTATTGTTGTTGTTATTGATTGAGCGGACATTTGGAGCCTCGTTACTTTGCCACATGCCAAGAACGATGATTCAGGTTGCATACTAAATGTGCGCTGCGATCTAAACCAGTGTTCTTCATCGTTTTTGTTTTGTTCTGACATCTGCCGCGTATAACAACTAAAGGAATTGTTACACGGCCCAAGTGAAAGTTTACTTGCTTGTTTCTCATCCGTGAAGTGTTTTGGCCATCCTTAAGGTGGTATACCCCACTCCTTTACTTGGTTAGGCATACACTTTTTGGCCTTTCTGCCTTTTTCTATTAAAGAAGCCAGGCCGAGTGTGACTAGCAAGACCCACTTGCGTCAAACCAAGTCTTTCGCCATTAGAGCATTGAATTTCGAGATCACTGTTAAAATCGCGTAAGTTTAACGTGCCTCTCCTCAGCCAGTCAGTTATGAACTAATCTGCACAGCTCTGAACTAATCTTCACAGCTCTTAACTAATCTTCACAACTCTTAACTAATCTGCACAACTCTGAACTAATCTGCACAACTCTTAACTAATCTGCACAACTCTGAACTAATCTTCACAACTCTGAACTAATCTGCACAACTATGAACTAATCTGCACAACTGTGAACTAATCTGCACATCTCTTAACTTTATCTGCACAACTCTGAACTAATCTGCACAACTCTGAACTAATTTGCACAACTCTGAACTAATCTGCACAACTCTGAACTAATCTGGAGTCATTTCAAGAATGATAAAAAAAAAAAAAAATGAACATAGAAATAAAAGATATAAAAAAAAAAAAACAGGGTATGCTTGCCTGCGGATCGGAAGGTGGCGTGTCTTGATAAAGCCGAAATTTTTTCAAAAATGACTTTTTGGCTTTCAGGTCGACCCAGCCTTGACTGAGTACCGGGTGAAGTCCTGGGAAGTAAAGCCTGCATCACCCACCAAGTGACCTCTGGTCTATAAAATATAGGTCTAGACCTATAGGCTCAAAACGCCTGGAAAGGCTCATGTAGTTGACTTCTTTTTCCCCAAAAACCACGGTGAGCGAATATTCACACCTCTACCTTTAAAAAAGTTCTTGTAGACAACTTTTATTTAAGACAATAGAATGTATACTTTGAGTTTCCTTCCTTCCTTCTCACTCCTTTCCTTCTTTTTTTCCTTTATTCTGTAATCTTCTTATTTGTTGTTTTTCCCTACGGGCTTTCCTGAAGGTTTGACTACACTGAGATTATAAAATCTAAATCTGGATGGTAAGCCAACAGGGCAAATTTAGATATCCAGTTCAAGCTCTAAAGAAGTTAAAATTGGGCCAGCTGTAGCGGCCATGCATAAATCCGCTGTAGTCTGCAGTCCTGTGTGTGTAAAGTGGTACTGAAGTTGTCCACTACAATTTCTTTCCTTCAGCCATTGACAGGGTTGTCCCACGCTCGGGGTTTTACAGTTGTACATATGATCTATGTAAAGGATCTTTTTTCCAGGCCTTTATGCGTATTTGGGCATACAGGGCTAGGCCTACATTGTAAAGACCAATAAAGACTTAATTCGTGATGTGGTCAGCATCATGCCGGATATAGCTGTTTTACCATCTACTGTTTCTCTCATGATGTGCTCCAAATACAAATGGAAAAGGACAGGGGATATAATGCAAAACTGTCTCACTCCCACACCGGTTTTAAAAATTGTGCCTATGTCGCTATGAACAAGTACTGCACTGCGTGCATCTTTATAAAGTGCTTCAATTGTGTCTATGATGTTCTTATCGAAGCTGAACTTTCTCATTATGTGCTAGAGCCCTATACGGTCAGATGCCTTCGTGAAAGTCAATTAAGTTATGAAATAGGTTGCATTGATGTTGTTAGGGTTTTTCCATAATTATTCTGATGTTGAACATTTGTTCTGTGATGGTTCTTTGTTCCCGAAACCCGCCCTTTCTTCGGCTATTATTTCTTCAGATTTTGCTTTCAGCCTGTTAAGATGAGTGATAAGACTAATAACTATGTAAATGTTGCAGCTTTTTAGATTACCTTTCTTTGGCAGTGGTATCACTAACGATTGTGTCCATTCAGCAGTCATCTGAACCAAAACACAGCTGTATGTCATACGGGGAGATATGGACCGTACTATAGCTTTCATCAAAACTGCAGCCAGGCCTACTGATATATTTTCTGACAGACGGATAGAAGAAGGTGAAAAAAGAAGAAGACGATACATGACGACGAGATACTAGAATACTTCAAAGCAATGATGAAATAAAACCAATCAACCAGTACTTGACAACGAAGAGAAAACTATCCGTCAAACAACAAACATCAACGGCAGACAAGGTCACCTACCTCCATGTATACAGCGAATGGCATGACGACGACAGCGACCATGATGTCGGCAACGGCCAGTGAACAGATGAAGTAGTTGGTCACCGTCTTCAAGCTCTTCTCTTTGATGACGCTCATCACAACCAGGATATTGCCGAAGACGGTCAGAAGGGGGATAATTATCAGAACTAAAGTCCAGAATCTGTATTCCTCGTCCAAGAGAGTTGCCGGACCCTGAGTTGAGGTGTCGTTCTCTTCTGGGTTGAAGAGGTCCCATGATTCACAACTCCCATTGGTCCTGTTAAAACACAGAGTATCCGTTTGGTTCCAGACCAGGTCCCAGGATGTAGGTAGTGGATCCAGGTGAACGCCAAAGTGATTGTGGTGGAGGGGGTGAAGCGCTGATGCGTGGCTACTGCCCAGGTTCAGCAGGTGTGTGTTTGATGATGGAAATGATGAGGAAGACGACGAAGAGGACGAGGATGATAGTGGCATAGAAGTGTCACGAGGGGGGACCTGATGAGCAGAAGAGTGGGCGGGGCTTAGAGGCGCCATCTTGTGTCGGGGGTGTCCTATGTGTGACCATGGTGACCTTTGATGAGAGGACGCTAGATTAGGATCATCGCTCTTTGAAATAATAGATGACATTGACACAGATGACGGCGATGATGGCAAATTTGAAGGCGTTGATGACTCAGTCCCAGACTTTCGGTTTGGGTATACATCTAGACGTGAAAACTTGCCCTCGGCACCTCTATCCCTCCACTCACTTTCATCTCCTTCGGTGTCACTTCCGTACATCTCTTCGCGAGAAGGCAGCCGGTTCATCCACGCCAGAGAATCAGGAGTTGTTGCAGCGTCCGCTGCTTCTGATAAAGATGAGGACGTCGATTCCTGATGATGATGGCGGTGATGGTAATTTGGATGGTTGTCAGACCCACCAATATAAAGCCCTTTGCCGACTTCCTGATTGTTGGCGAACAGACGCCTGAGGCTCTGGCGAATTAAATGCCTCTGGCCTTTGTGATTTTTGGAGGCTGCCATAATTCCACTAGAAGACCACGACGAGTGACCAGACCTTCCTTATCGCCTTATATCAGGGCACAGCGAGAAGACAAACTGTAACAGGTCATTGTAAAGTTAATACGATTAATTACCTTTCAATAATTATATGACAGCGTGTGGTTAATTACCAGTCCTGTGTAATTCTCTTATCTTTATCATTCACCTGTAAATTACATTTGAGAGTAAAGTTAATTAATACCTCTGTTACTGGGTCTATAAATATACACTTTTCCTGATTATTTATTTGTCTCTGTTATTGTGTATTTGTTTGTTTAAAATATCCCTTAATTTAGTATATATATATATATATATATATATATATATATATATATATATATATTCATCTTTTCCCCTGAGGTGCTCTCATAAATTAACTTGGCTACGGAAAGTAAAATCATTAACTCTCTCATTTGCTTACGGCTGGCCTTTCCTAATGATTAAATTTCCACTTTGGGTTATCGTATCACCAAGTGACACTTTCCATGCCATAATATTTCCCTCTTAGAGCAAACATGTTTTATTTCTGGGAGAAATATTTTCTCTCCAACTTTCTACAATTTATCCCTGTGATTAATTCCTTGGATAGTTTTTCCCCCTTCTGTAATTTCTCCACTATAATTGTTTTATGCTTCTTGAGAAATGTCCCTTCCTGGTTGGTATTTGTTATTTATGTATTCGCCGTCATTGATTTTTCTCTGGTGATCAAGTTCTCTGAATGATTTATGTTTTCACTTTAGTCAGCAATACTTCGATTTTACACTTCCACTTTACGACTAACTCCTTAGCTCACAGTTCGTGTATATATATAACTGAGATTACATGGTCATTACGTTATCTCTCTCCCCTCTCAATGTAAAGTTATCAAACAATGTATATATTACACCTTAAACATCCTTATCATACACCTGAAACAGTATCCAAGCCACTTAAGGCAGGCAGCAGATATTTATTTCAAATATTAACTTATCAATTCTCAAGTTTAATTAATTCAGCAGTTTAACGTGTGCAGATTAGTAGTTAACCCGTTCATGCTGTGTTACTTGTTAGTTTTGGCCAGACGAATGCTATTTTGTGATGACGTGACGCGTTTTCCTTTCACAGAGTAATTAATTGTTAGTCTGTTTAAATATTAGACAAAAGTTAAATTTGTCTAAAACTGAGTTTACATATTGCTAGTTACCTCCCCTTACTAGTTCATTACACATTGGTAAAACGGGTTGGCTTGTGCCGTTTCGGATACATTATATATTTCATTTCAACGCGTCTTTTTTGTAATTATCAATCACTTCTGAATTTTTATTTTTCAGTTTTGATAAATATTTGAACAACGGATTAATCCTTTCCTTGAACACTGATGAGCTCGTGTCTTTTTTTTTTTTTTTAAAACCGAACTCGTGTTTCGAATCACTTCAAAGGTAAATCAGTTTTTGTAGTTATGGTAAATACAATTAAAGAAATCCAAATTACCCCTACACATTAAAGGATTTCAAGCGAAGAACACTGGTGATCAAATGAGCGGACGCAGGTGATCTCTGTGTTTTTTTTTCTCAGGTCTGAAATCACATCTGTGAACACCATAAAAGATCTGCTATTCACGGTGATGCATTTTTCGTTGTCTTCATCAATAGAGCGACTTACCCCTTATGCTGTAAAAATTTATGCACCACTTTCCACACAATAAACAAGATCGTTATTTCAATCAGAGTAGTTATTCAGTCTATCGAACTGTTTTGCTTACTTCTCTTCTGTAATGATCACTTTGGATATAAAACAGAATAGGCCAGTGTTCGAACTATACTTGCCGTGCCAGCTTGATTAAGTATTCTAACAGACACGTTTTATTGACTGCAAAAATTATGTCATTTGCATAAATAGACCTCAAATTTATTGTAAGTCATTCATATTTATTTTTGTCTTTTGCCTTGTTTATTTGTCCTGTTAGATTTCTATACATTATTGCTCATTTCTGTATTGAATTATTTATCATGCCTACGTACATAATTGTAAACGTCATGGGATTTATACGACACTGTTTTGTCAAGAATATTTCAGATGACTTGTACTTTCTTGTTTGTACAAATTCGACCACTATTTTTTTCTACAAATTCTCCCTTTTCTTTTTTAACCGTAAATTGTTTTCCTTTCTAAAAATTGTACTTTCTCAGCTTGTAATGTCTATTGTTCTACATCAATAAATTCCATTTATTCCTTTGGCAAATTCGATATTTCTGTTATAACTGTAACGTTTACCTTTATAAACTGAACATTTCCTGCAGCAAAGTCTATGTTTTCTAGCGTATGAACACTCACTCTCAAGTGATCGTCGTGTACAGTCTGTAGCTTCTCCCAGGCTTGTCACGAGTCCGTGTCTTCTGCAACATTTTACCGACAGATCATGTACTGTAATCTCTAAACTCTTTCTGAATACACAAGGTATTTCTCGACTGTTTGGTAGATTCAAGTGAGCAGTCAAAATAAGTGATCTCTTATCTTTCAGAATTCACAACTGTTTTCGGTGCGTAAACAAAAAAAAAAAAAAAATAAAAAAAATTTAAAAAAAAAAAATTAAAAAAAAAAAAAAAAAAAAATAAAAAAAAAAAAAAAAAAAAAAAAAATATAAAAAAAAAAAACTCCATCTGAGCTAGAACTGCGTAGGCAATACTGTTGTCTGTGTTTCTTGAGTTTGGAGCAACACGCCACAAAACACACAACACTGATAATCGTGGCATCACACAGGGGTCTGGAGTGTATTGTCCAGATACCGGTTACTTTAGCAGGATGGTGGTGGCGGTTATACTTCTCCAGGATTAACACCTCAAGTGATGAGAATCAGACAAAAGAAAATTCCATAAATTCACGCCACCAGTACAAAAATCCAACAAAAAATCCATCACATAAAGCTAATATTCACTTAATCCAACAATTAGCGAATCAGTTATAATTTTTTTCAAGGTTATTTTAACAACCTTACGGTTACAAGGTAACCTTTATTCGAAAGTAGAGGTTTGACCTGAGGAACATCAAGCCAGAGTTTTGAAACATAGCCGGTATCCAGTAGCTGAATATTCTTTAATTACTCTAGGTTCAAACATGGGCCAAAGACCTAAAGCAGGTGGTAACAAACCGTCAGACATGGAGAACTCTGCCCTATGCCCCGCCCTAGGCTCAAGAGGAAAGATTAACTGACTAATTCACCCGGTCTGAAAGAGTGAATATACCAAGAGCCATGGAAAGGAGAGTTAACTGATGTCTCTTCAACCAGGCAGGTGACGAATTATATCAGGTAGGGGACACCTTGCCAGATTGTTTAGTGTTTAGTAGACTAAACTAGAGACGTAGATATCCTACATGAAAAACTGGTTTGTACACGTAAAGATTATTCAGCCACGCAAGAAACGCTGCCTGGGGGAAAAAAGATTCAAACTGGATCTTATCTAGCATCCTTTAGTCAATATCACCATAATAATAAGCATCCTCTGAAAATCACCAAGTGACAATTCTTGACACGTCGACTTATGTATCGTTCATTTAATTTTACCACGTCGGGAATCCTTCATTCACAAAGACATGAAAACGTCATCAGTTGTGGTGTCTTGAATTGTTCTGTGACATATTTGTGAAGATATCAGTGAATGTTTATGGGCACAGTTCCCTTCCTCTTAATAAACTACAGTGTGCCAGCCAACCTCAGAGATCTGCAGCTCATGATCCTATTTGCTGAATCTGAAATAATGAAAAAGAGAGAAATAAGTTAGTTTCTGATGATTGTTTTTACTTCATTAAAAAAAAAAAAAAAAACACGACAATGACTTTTCAATGAAACAATTATTTGTTGAATTATTCACAAATTTGGCTGACTATAACTAAGATATCCGATTGTAGACATGTTTAATCTAGAGACTACTCTGTCAGTCTGCCCGTCCGTCAGCTGTCTGTGTGACAGTTTATGTGTGAGTTCGTCTATTAGTTTGTCCGTCTCTCTGTCTGTCTCTCCGACCGTCCAGTCGTCTGCCCACCCGCCCGCCTGTTCATCCATCGGTCCGTCTGATTGACTGTCCGCATTTCTTTCGGTTTTTCTTTTTTTAACCATCTACCTGCACGTCTATTTGTCTGGCTGTCTGTCTATCTGATTGTTCGTCCGTCCGCCCGTCCCTTTATCTGTGCATGTTTCCGTTGTCTTTCTTTCTTTCTTTCTTTCTTTCTTTCTTTCTTTCTTTCTTTCTTTCTTTCTTTCTTTCTTTCTTTCTTTCTTTCTTTCTTTCTTTCTTTCTTTCTTTCTTTCTTTCTTTCTTTCTTTCTTTCTTTCTTTCTTTCTTTCTTTCTTTCTTTCTTTCTTTCTTTCTTTCTTTCTTTCTTTCTTTCTTTCTTTCTTTCTTTCTTTCTTTCTTTCTTTCTTTCTTTCTTTCTTTCATTCATTCATTTATTCAATC